CTCCCGTAGTACTCCAGCAAAGATTAACTGACTGTGTATACACTGGAGGTAGGTAATTAAAATCCAGTGAGCCAGAAGAGTTAAAGAGGAACGGATGAGGCCAAATGAAAGCTAAAACTAAAAATAATTTTACTGTAGATGCCATATACAAATCGAAATCGCACAGGCACCTCTGTGTGAATGATTCTGCCCTTCTCATGACACTCCGGTGGTAGATCCGGCGCGCAGGTAGGTAGTTGCAGTCGAGCTCACCAGAAGAGATAAAGGAGAACGGAGGAGGCCAAATGGAAGCTAAAACTTTGAACTTTTTTACTGCAGGTGCCATATACAAAGCGAAATCGCATAGGCACCTCTGTGAATGATTCTATCTTCCCAGTTACCATCCGGTGCTGCTAATTGTGGACCCAGCGCGCAGGATGTATGCGTTTAAAGTGGAGCTCGCCGGAAGAGATAAAGTAGAATGGAGGTAGCCAAATGAACGCTAGAACCTTGGAGTATTTTACTGTACATACCGTATATAAAGCAAAATTCTCGGGGCACTTCTGTACGCAGAAGTCCAATGCATTCCTCTCTCCCGTAGCACCTGCAGGCACTGTCCACGCACTGGAGGTTGATGATTGAAATGTTAGAATGCAACAAGAAGAGTTAGAGAGAAACGGAGGCGACCAGATGAAAACTTAGGTCTTGGAGGATTTTACTGTAGATGCCATATACAAAGCGAAATCGCCTAGGCACTTCTGCATAGATGGTTCTGTCCTTCCCGCGACGATCTGGTGGGACTGACTATAGACTCCTGTGCGCAGGAGGTAATTAAATTGAATGAGCCTGAAGAGCTAAAGAGGAACATAGAAGGCTAAGTGAAAGCTAAAACTTTGAAGAACTTTGCTGTAGATGCCATATACAAAGCGAAATTCTGGGGCACCACTGTGCGCAGGCATCTCGTTCTCTCCGTAGCACTTCAGCAAATACTGTGGACTCTAGGCCCGTCTCAACCTACGGCCCATTGACACCCCTGGTGATCTCATTCTGCCAGCAAAATACTAGCGAAACCGTTAACCAGGCCAAAGATACCATTAGCGCGGAGACATATCTTGTCGCGACAACGTCTTCGAGGTGGTCTCCTCGTGTGCCCAGTGGGTCTACAGATAAGAAACAGTCTTGGTCGTCTGATTCATCTGGGGCATGGCATAGAGGCACCCAAAGACGAAACCTATTTTAGCTAATGTATATCTACTATGTACTAGAATACACTTTTTCTTAATTCGTTGCGGTCTGATTGGTCGACACCGACATGGGTGTTTAGTAAGCACGACACATCAAATTCAGAGCGGTTACCCTGCCTGCTTTGGTGCGGTTACCCTGCCTGCTTTGGTGCGGTTACCCTGCCTGCTTTGGTGCGGTTACCCTGCCTGCTTTGGTGCGGTTACCCTGCCTGCTTTGGTGCGGTTACCCTGCCTGCTTTGGTGCGGTTACCCTGCCTGCTGCTGCCTGCTGCTGCCTGCCAGCGCTGCTGAATTTGAAGTGTCGCGCCCGTTGCGGAGTTGCGGAAATGCACCAAAAAATACACGTTTTCGACCCTGAAAATAACCCCCGGTGCGTCAAGTCGCCGGAGCCCTCCTATTTTGCACCGGTTGGTCTATGAGAGCTGGGTGACAACACAAACAACTCTCTGAGACCAAACTCTACTGAATAAAATATACTGAATAAAATCTACTGAATAAAATCTACTGAATAAAATCTACTGAACACAATCTAGCAAAATAAATTCTATTACATACTGTTCCATAGTGTTCTCACCCAGCTCTCTCAACAAAATGTCAACTATAAAATGTATACAATGTAAACGTGATAAGGAAATCGCGGATTACGATCTTGATAGGCATGGCCGGCCCCGTAAATCATGTCGGACATGCTTGGTGAGTTTTGAATTTTACTACGATTAATTGAGCTCTACTGATTCAAATCGAATAATTAGTCTCGCGCGCGTGAACATACACGTCGTCGAGCGGAAGCCAGACGGCAACGAATTGCGAATAATGAAGAAGTGAGTTGGAATATTTCTTTTAATATCCACTAATACTTGGGCCGTTATTCTAATAGATACTGTGACAGTCATTTCTCCCCTCAATCGCACCTGTAGTACCATTAGCATTCCAATCTGCTCGGGCACGTTGGAGGCCATTGGAGTTGGGTAGAATGAAAGTGATTTGTTCTTCCTGTCAATCGTTACATTGGATATGCGAACGCGTGCATGGAAGTTCAATTGCATTACCACGTTTTGAAAGTTGTTGCAAGAAAGGCGACATTCAGTTGCCGGCATTGGGACAAGCACCCGAGTACTTACAATACCTACTTGAATCTACTGATTCTGTACCCAAACAGTTCCGTGCCAGGATCAGGGAGTACAACTCCGCTTTAACCTTTACTTCTGTTAAGTACAACTCAGATGAACGCGTCGGCGCACAAGTTGCGGGTGTTCGATGCTTTCAAATTCACGGCGAGCTTTACCATCTTCAAGGACCATTAACTGCAGCGGCACAAGATACACCCAAATTTGCTCAGTTATATTTCTACGACCCAGTCTACGCAGCCTATTTGAGGCAACAAGAACATCCCAATCTGGACCTCGCTATCCTGGAACGCTTGACAAATGAACTGAACATTGTAAATCCATTCATTTCATTATACAAAACGGCAAAGGAACGGTTAGACGCTGCATCACAAGGGGATGGAAATGTACGCATGTTGCTCAATCTTCAGCTAAGGTTGGTGATGGAGCATGGGGCGGACAAGCGTCGGGAAAATCTGCCTACCAGCAACGAAGTCGCCGCAATAATACCAGATGAATACGGTGATTCAGGATTCAGGGATATTGTCCTAGCTCATAAAAATCCAGATGTCAATAGGCAGTTTAGTGTGATTGATCCCAACCATGCCGCATATATGCCATTGCATTATGTTCTACTTTTTCCTAACGGAGAAAACGGTTGGCATTGGGGCTTGCGATTGCGGGATGAGTTGAACAGACGGAAGAATTTGAGGTTACAACAGCGAGAGTTTTACCGGTATGTTTCAATACCCTTTGTTCTGAATAACCTTTTGACGTATCTGACTTTTTGATTGACAATTCTGTGTATAGATACCGAATACATACGAGGACCACTGAGCCCATGACTTTGTTCCTCTCGCAACGACTTTTTCAGCAGTATTTAGTTGATGCTTGGGCTGTCTGTGATCAGAATAAGTTGAATTGGCTTCGATTGAATCAGGCAAACATCCGAGCTGACCTGTATAATGGACTGGCAGATTCCATGCGGCAAGAAGATTTTAACCCGGAGCAAACTGGGAAGCGCATCATTTTACCACGAAGTTACACAGGTGGAGACCGGTATATGCTCCAGTTGTTTCAAGATTCCATGGCCATCGTTCGACATTTGGGGCGTCCCTCACTGTTCGTTACCTTTACGGCAAACCCAAAGTGGGAAGAGATTACTGCGGAGCTACTACCGGGGCAAACTGCTGTTGATAGGCCAGATTTGGTTGCAAGGGTATTTCATCTCAAACAACAACAACTTCTCCAAGAAATAAAGCGAAAACACATCTTTGGACGGTATCTTGGCTCAGTTTGGACTATAGAGTATCAGAAAAGAGGACTGCCACATATGCATCTACTGATCTTTCTGCATCCGGATGACCGTTTTTTGACAGGGGAGAAGATGGATGAAATTGTGTGTGCAGAGTTGCCAGACCCTGCGACTGATCCTACTGGGGAGCTTACTGAGGTAATCAAAAGCTGCATGGTACACGGTCCATGTGGAGAGGCAAATACACGATCACCTTGCATGGCTTCAAAGGAAAACAGTGGACCAAAATCATGTTCCAAACGGTACCCAAAGGCCTATCAACCCGAGACAGTTGTACAGGAGGATGGTTATCCCCTGTATAGAAGGCGTAATGATGGCAGAACATGGACAGTGATGGTAAGGGGATCGGGGTTTTCTAATCAGTATACAATGGATAATAGATGGGTCGTACCATACAATCCATATTTGTCTAAGCGTTATAAAGCACACATTAACGTAGAAGTCTGTGGTTCAATCCATGCGATCAAGTATATACATAAGTATATATATAAGGGCTCAGATCGAACAACACTCCAGGTTGGGAGTGACTCGGATGAAATCAAACGATATCTCCAAGGACGTTATATAGGACCTACTGAGGCTGTATGGCGTTTGTTTGAATATGGCATGCATGAGGAATACCCGTCAGTTATTCACTTGGCTGTCCACTTACCAGGCGAGCAACCGGTGTACTACGGTAACGATGCGAACCGGGAAGAGTTGATACAGAGGATGGAAAACTCGAGAACAACGTTGATTGCGTATTTTGAGTATAATACAGAGCACGAGGTTGGTATACAGTATCTCTATCAAGATTTTCCTGTACACTTTACCTATGACGCTAGATCGCGGAAGTGGGCACCTCGAAAACAGGGGGTCGCAATTGGACGTATGTGGCATTGCAACCCTATGATGGGGGAGAAATATTTCATGCGTTTGTTGCTGACTGTTATCCCCGGGGCAAAATCTTTTGAACATCTTAGAACTGTAGAAAACATACCGCATCCTACTTTTAAAGCTGCATGTATTGCTCTTGGTTTGCTTGAGGATGATCAGGAGTGGGTGCAATGCTTTACTGAAGCGAGCTTATTCTCAAGTGGATATTCCCTCTGTACACTCTTTGCTACAGCCCTACTCTTTGGTAACGTGACTGACCCTTTGGCATTATGGGATAAATTTAAAACAAACATTTGTGATGACTTGCCCCATGCATTGGAGAGAAACCCAGGACTGATTGTACCTCCTGAACTGCCTGATGCCTATCTGGACTATGGTCTTTACCTGATATCACAAATTCTTGCGGACTCCAATAAATCACTTTCAAACTTTGGGTTGCCCTCATACATGGTAGATTGGAATCGAACGGGTGGGAACGAAATGGTTGCATCTGAACTGCGATATGACATGGAAATGGAGGCCGCAAGCCTACAGTTGAGGATTCCAATGCTCAATACTGATCAACTCCAGTGCTTCAACACTATTACACACAGTGTTGAAGAACGTTCATCAGCCCTATTTTTCATACAAGGGCCTGCAGGTACTGGAAAAACATTTCTCTATAATGTTATCTGTAACCATCTCCGTTCTCAAGGTAAAATTGTTCTCTGCGTGGCTTCTTCCGGTATTGCAGCACAGTTACTCCCTGGAGGCAGGACATCGCATTCAAGGTTCAAAATTCCAATTGCGATACATGAGACCTCAACCTGCGACATAAAACGGGGCAGCCTCCTAGCCGGTTTGATAGAACAGACTGCTCTGATAATCTGGGATGAGGTACCTATGCAGAATAAGTACTGCTTTGAGGCTGTTAGTCGTACCCTGAATGACATTTGTGGAGTTGGTGATGATTCTCTGTTTGGAAATATTCCGATCGTACTCGGAGGGGACTTTGCACAGATTTTACCAGTTGTGCGGCGTGGTAATCGAGCTCAGATAGTGCAGGCCTGCCTTCAACGATCATATTTGTGGCAGCACTTCAAAATCTTGAGACTCAAAATTAACATGCGGGTTCGTGAAGGTGTTGTTAATGAGGAGTTTGCGGATTGGCTTGGTGGAATGATGCATAATGCTCAATGGTACGGTAAAATCTCTTTACCGCCGTTCATTCAAAGCTGTAAAACAGTTGAGGATCTCTGTTCGCATGTCTTTCCACGGCGGATAATCGAATCGGCAACCGTAAATTACGCTGCGTTTTCAAAGCGCGCGATTCTAGCGATGCGAAACGATACAGTCGCTGAGTTCAATGATAGGGTTTTACAAGAAATTGAAGGCGAAATTCATACCTACTACTCAGCTGATACAGTCGACAGCGAAAATTCAGAAGATAATTCGAACCTACTACCTCCGGAATACCTGCAGAATCTGAATCCATCTGGACTTCCACCGGCAATTCTCAAACTAAAAGTGGGGGCGCCAATAATTCTACTCCGTAATTTGTATCCGAAACAGGGTCTCTGTAATGGGACGAGAATGACTGTGACAAGGCTTGGTAGACGGTGCATCGAAGCTAGAATTCTGGGTGGTGAGTTTGATGGCCAGCCAAAGGTTATTCCACGCATCCAGTTATCATCCGCTGAGGGTGATCTCCCTTTCATCATAATAAGAAGGCAATTGCCTATTCGGCTTTGTTTTGCAATGACCGTCAATAAAGCACAAGGTCAATCATTGGATGTTGTTGGAGTTGACTTGCGGTCTGATTCCTTCACTCACGGGCAGCTGTATGTAGCACTATCAAGAGTTACCGACGTGACCGGCTTGATGGTATTGCAAGGAGAGGAAATGCAGCCACAAACCGATAACATCGTATACCCGGAAGTGCTGTTGTAAAGAGGGTATGGTATTCAAATCTACTTTTAATAATGATGTTAACATTGATGTAGCATTCTGATCATAAACGGCTCGGCAACTTGAAGCGTAGTAGTACGGTAATTTTGGGATTTCTAGGAACGTTGTAGGTAATGGTAATAATCATCTCTATCTCAATCTCAAACGAAAAACTGATATTGATATAGATACTTGGTAGCAGAAGGCTGAGGGTTTGGGTTAGTGTTGCGGTTAGGGAAAGATAAAACTGGGGGTTACAAAACGTAAAGGTAAATATCTCAATCTCAAACGAAAAACTGATATTGATATAGATACTTGGTAGCGGAAGTCTGAGGGTTTGGGTTAGTGTTGCGGTTAGGGAAAGATAAAACTGGAGGTTACAAAACGTAAAGGTAAATATAATTTCTGTTTCCGTTGCTTGCGAAATACTAACTTACTCATAGATTTAGATTGGGATTGCGGGCGGTGGAGAGTAATTTAGGGTAGTTTGAAAGGGGTATAAGAGTTTATTGTTATGAGTTAGAATTTTGTTTTTTTCTTTATCTCTCTCTGTATTTTCTTTTTTTTTCTTTATCTCCATTTGTATTTTCTTTTATTTTCTATTTTCTTTTTTTTCATTTTTTCTTTTATTATTGTAACTAAATCGCAATGCATCTATTTTCCAAAATTGCAACACCTCGCGGTCGCGAGGTGGCCCACCCCTAGTATAGTAGTACAATGAGCTTATCGAGTGCAGTGACGTAAGCACTAATGGAATTGAGGTTCGATGCACTGTCTAAAGGTTACCATTAACCTCTCAGAAAAAGGGCAACCATCGCTACAACTCCGACCTGAAGATAACCAGCTGGTGTAAGTCAATGCAGGTTTTTTTTATAAGAACCGAGTGATGTCCCATGATGCACACCCGTCTCAATCTCAATACTTGGCTGCATGCGTCACGCCTACAAATTGCCCCCATCACCAGGAGCACCACTGCATACCTCCACGTCTAGATCTTAATGCCCTCAACGCCTCCACCTTGAGCGAGTGCGTCATGGTATATCACTCGGTATACGCGGAACAAGCTCACCTCTGTACGTTTTTTTGGTTTTTTTAGTTTAATTCATACTGACATCAGTAGGTTCCCGTCGACTGTAAGCATAATTCACCACTATATTAAGCTAAAATAAGTTATGCTAATCTACGATATGAAGAGGCCTAATGTAACTCAGTCTCAGTCTTCTTTCTTTTGATCGGTCTCCCAACATTGCCTGTCTTAATAGGCAGCCTGTGGGCTGTGTTCTTCGGATCCAATTTTCTCCTTTTAATTTCTTTAATAGTGTCCATGAAGGATGCTATACCGATCTCAGCCCTGTTACTCCCCAATCTCCGCTTCATACCTTTCTCATCAAGGACAGTCCCTGTTGCTCCGCGAGGTTGTGTATAAATTCAGGTATAGGTATAGGTCTTTCTGCCCCCGCCTCCCCCTGCACCTCCCCCTGCACCTCCGCCTGTGCTTATGCCTGCACCTCCCCCTGCACCTTCACCTCCACCTCCATCTCTATGTACACCACCGCCTACACCCCTGCCTGCACCCCCACCTCCCCTGCCGCTGCCTAGCTGGATGGTGTAAACAGGGACGAGCTTTTTCTTTTCTTTTCCTCCTTTTGTAGTAGCAACTTCCCAACCCTCTTCTAAAGGCTTACTAGTTGGATATAGTAATCCGGCCTGTTGAAGTTCGTGATATGTTTTGAGAGGCAATAAGGTTGAACCTTTACGGGTTCGGTATTAGCGTCAGCTGCGTGCAATAATCTTGAATCCAGAAGTAATGAAACTATGACCAATTGTAAAAAGATAGGGAAGGAGTGTTGAACCTTTGCGATACACTTTAGTGAACTGAGAGTTGTAATACCAGGTTACTGCTGGTGAGAATTCAAATGTATTCTTGCTAGTCTTACTCGCTGATACCCGCTGGCAATACTCTGCAGACTTTGCTTTGAGAAAGAATTGCCTGATAGCAAGTAGGAACCGGTCTCTGATATGAGTGGTTCTAGTAGCGGTGTATCGGATAAACATGTCTCTGATATCCCCTTTTGAGAATATATGGGAGGTTAGAGTCTCAGGGTGTATGTTGGCTAGGTGCAGAATCTCGGCAGCATGTGAAGTACCGATGCCATTCCAGAGATTATTCTTAGAGGAGTTTGTGATTTCTTTATAGATAGGTGTGTTTCTTGAGGCGAGTGATTTTTGATTTTGATACAGGTTTTTCTCGTAGAGATCGGGTTCTCTAATAGGGCAGGGAGCTAGCTCAGTATCATACCAGGGTATAGTGCCTCCTGTAGCTATGGTATCAACAGCCGTAATAGTCATAAGGCGATTGCTGTAGAATTTAGTACAGCTAGGGTATAAGATTAGGTTATAAGACTAGGTTTAACCTACCGATCCACCAAAAGAACGGTCATTTCTTCTCCTACTATTGCACCCAATACGGTTGTGTTGAACTCCGAATTCGGATGATCGTCCCAGGCCTTGACCATGGATAGATATTCTTCAGTGCTAGCAGGTAGGCCGTGACCATGGAGCGCAAATTGCACGCGGAGCCAAATACCATCAGCTAGAGGGATACCTAGTGCCTTGCCCCAATGTTCGACACCAGCTCCTGAAAACTGGAAGGATCTCCCCTTCATGCATTCGATCAAATTTGCATTGAAAAGAGTGCCATTGTCGGCTCTGAACCACCTTGGGTGAAGGTCAAGTCTGTAAGTGCCAGCTGGAACTTGAGCTTCAATCATTCGCTTCATATCGTAGTAGGTAATTCCCTCCGGCATTGCGAGAAAGCGGTCTGATGACAAGCACACTGGAAGTGTGGTCGGTGAAGCGGTGTTTAAGCAGTCCGACCTCAAGGGCGCTGGAAATTTGGTAGTGAACCGGTGCTTAATTGGTGGAGAGATAGAATGCGTTCAGCACACTGGAAGTGTGGTGGGTAAACCGGTGCTTAAGTATATAGATAGAACAGGTTTGTACCTGCACCATTAAATCCTTTATATCACAATCACAAATGTCGTGCGACACTCTCTTCGCCTTGTGAATCGTGATGTAGGAGCCTGATAATCTAATTAGTAAATAGCTATATTCAATATGCAATGTTATTTTGATGGTTTTGATTGGTTGAGTTTTGAATGTTTCTTTTTTCTCGAGCTATTGAATAGGGTGAGTCAGCTAAAAAGAAACGTTATGTTGGGGTTTATGGTTTCTTGTTATTCTTCGGTGATTGTGATATACCTTTGGTGATTTTGATATGTTTTCGGCATTGTTTGAATCTACTAAGAAAAGGTTAAAAAAATACATTGGTGAATCTGGGGGTCTTTATGATATGTGTTTGGTGGTTGTTATATGCTTAACTCCCTACCATGGCGAGAATACACCTCTAATGACGTATAGTTCATTATCCTTTCCCGCCCGAAGGCAAGAATCGGCTTGTATGCTATAGAATGCCGACAAGATGATACAAAAGCCGACTTTTGATATAAAGCCCAAATTCCATGTGATTTGAGGTCAGAACAACGCTTGATTTTGGTGTCGGAGCTGAAGAAACAACATGCCGCATCTATGCTAGGGACGAGCCTAATACAGTGGAGGTAATAAATGATAGGCTGGGTAACATATTAGGTTGTTATCTTTTAATATCGTCGGCACACGGTGACAGGGAATAAGTCATTGAAAGCCCAAAAATACAGTTATACCTGCAAAACACGGTTGGTGTCTTACCCAACTAAGGTATAACTCTATCTCACCCTATATCACATATTACATTAATGGTTTATTTCTTGTTGGAACTATTAGTGATAGTCTATGATCGAGTGATAATCTGTGACTGAGGAAGGACTCCGGCGTGCAGGATGTATGTGTTTAAAGTCGAGCTCGCCAGAAGAGATAAAGGAAAACGGAGGAAGCCAAATGGAAGCTAAAAGATTGAAGTATTTTACTGTACATACCGTATACAAAGCGAAATTTTCGGCGTATCTCTGTACGCAGAACTCGAGCGAATTGTTCTATAAATGAATCAAGCAACAGAAATAAAGAAACAAACCCAAAGCTTCGCGAGTACGTCATAGTGTCTCACTTGGTATACATTGGAACAGCTCGCCTCAGTATGTTTCTTTGTTTAATTCATACACGCATACCGCCTGGGAGCTGTTTTTTCCACGGCGGTGAGTGATAATTTGTGATCGAGTGATAATCTGTGACTATGAATTGACTCCGGTGAGCCGATAATAATTGATTGAAGTTGAGCTAGCCAGAGGATAATAGAGGTGGTCAACTGAAAGCGAAAGCTTGGAAGAATTCTACTGTAGATACGGTATACAAAGGGAAATCGCTTAGGTATGATTCTCTCCTCTGCCGTGGCGCTCCGACAAGAATGTTAGTGAATTAAGTCTTGAAATGCCGACAGAAGAGGTAAAGAAGAACGGAGGAGGCCAAATTTAAGCTAAAACGTTGAACGATTTTAATGTAGATGCCATATACAAAGCGAAATCTCGGAACACCTCTATATATAGTTTTAACGTCCGGGACTACTGGCGTAGACTGCGGTATGCAATATGTAAGTGATTAAAATCGAGTGAGCGGGAAGAGGTAAAGAGAAACGGGAAGGTCAAATAAAAGGTAAGGTTTTGAAGAATTTGACTGTAGATGCTGTATGCAAATAATATTAAGATTTAGTTTCTTTAAATAAGGTATTTACAGGAGGTAAACGGTATTAATGGTATATGAGGAGTTATCAACTGACACTAGGACAACTTCACAGGCGGAACGGGCAATCGTTACGGAATTCCTACGAAAGGCACAGTTTATTGTATTGGTAAAAGCAATTCAGGAGCGAAAGTAGCTTTTTGAGTAGGCCTAGCAAGTGCAGACTTCTTCCTCCGGCTTGTGTACAGCACTATATAACACCATAAAGCGAAAGTATCGAACACCCCCTCCGTGTTTAAAGAAAACATGAAACTGCACCGTATAATTGAAGCCAAAGACATTCCTCGTAATTCCAGTCACATATCGTCACTCGCTTGACCAAGCACCTCGCTCATATATTGTCACTCGCGCCTCTAGTCATGGATAATCACTCGTTCACAGTTCTGTGCTACCAATACGGCGACGCTTATAGTCAGGAGGTATTCCTGCCTCGTAACCATCCAATGCAGTCAATCCATGCTTAGCAATAGTTTGTTTGAGAAAGTTTTCCGCCGCTGTCCTTTCTGGGGTGTTGTCGCTGTCTTTGTGTGTATAATTTTCGGGTAGGCTAAACATCTCTTGAATTGTGAAAAGCTCAATATCAGGCTCAGTCTCGGTATACTATCCTCACATTAGTTGATTCAATAATAGTAAGTGATGTCCTCTTACATCATCCTCAGGCCATGAATCGGGAATGACTGTCGGCTCGGTTTCTGGAAACTATTTTTGGTGTTGGTGGATTTCATTGAATAAGGATAGCTTTCTTACATTATCTTCAGCAAATGAGTTTGGTCTAACTGTTGGCTCCGAGCTGTGCTGTCTGGAGGGGTGGTGCAAGTGACGGTTGCGAGTAATGGTTGTTGAGATAGCTGGCGGAGCGTATTGGAAGACAATTGTTACCTGGTTGTCGAGACTGGGATACCAAGAGTGAAGAACAGACTTGATGGTTCGAAGAGATCTGACAGAAGGGGATAAATGATGTGGTAGTTTAGCTGTATCGTCCCATCCATGCGTGAGAAAACACTCTCGCATTTGAGGGGCAGTTGAATAAAGCTTCTGAAAATCTTTCTCCCATTGAGCCCATGTAGTAGTCGACCTGAGTAGTCGATCTGTCAGAAAGCTGTCCCATGATTTTCTATGAACCCTTTCGGTTAGGAGAGTAGCTGATGGTCTCCAAGTCTCTCTTCCTATAATAACAAATTCATTATAACGGCGGTGTGGCTGCTGAAGCTTTGCGGGAGTATAGCCACAGATGATGTTTAAGACACGTTGGTAGGGATGGCGTGGAAGATCAGGTGCAGGGTGGTCATCGTCGGTAGACTCAAAGTAACTAAAGGAGGTGTTGGAGTGGTTGCCGGAGTGGTTACCGTTGGTTCCGCCGGGGAGGTTGACAGCAGTGCTGCCGATTGGGCTGCCAGAAGGGCTGGAGGAGATATATAATAGGGGAGGCTTTCCCGGGTTTGAAGGGGATGGTGGTGAGTACCTACGAAGCCTGTTGGAGTTTGGCATCATGCTGGATAGATGAAACAAGAGAACAATAGAGAAGTGATGATGAGGTTGGAGAAGCAGTGAGAAGGAATGAAGGGAGTGAGTGGAGTAGAAGGAATATATCAGAGCGGTTTATCGACCCAGAAACTTGACAGCGTACGTGTTATGTTCACCGAAGGACACATCTCCTGCCGCATATAACCGGCCGCCTGTATAGGTAAAACTCGGTGTGTTTTCACTTGCTGACCATTCTCTACGACCACTCTCTATAGCGCTTTTTCGATACTTGTGCAGTCAGTAATATACAATGGAGAAAAAAGAAAATAGTTTCATTCTGCTCGTCAGGTTGTGGGCAAATATAATTAGATTTATTTATAGCAAGCGATAGCAAGTACAACAATTCTTTCTCCGCCGGCACAGGTGGCCCTTTGACAACAAGTACTAATAGTATTCTGGGAATGTAAGTTAAACTACAGCATCATGCTTTGGTTTTTGGAAGCCGAAGTTTGTTAAAGGCATCTGTCCTTCCTTTAGTTTCGGCACTGGTTTCGGGGCATTGAGTGCCTTCTCCTTCCTACGCGCCGCGGCTTTGGCCCTTCTATTCTTCTGGCGTTCCATCTCTTCGACTTTTTTCCTATCCTGTTCTTGTTTTTTGAACCACTGATTCAGCTCCTTTTCAGTCATACGAGGGCGGTTGAGGTAACGTCGATGGCTTTCGAGCTTTGCCTGTCGGGAGGTCATTGGCCTGACTGGTTTGTATGACGATTCAGGTTCGGGCTCAGCAGGCGTCTTGACTATGCGTGGGAAGAATGTAGAGATGTGTAGCTGATGAGAAGGATGTTTGGGGCCATCACATTTTTTTTTGTTCTTATTTGTAGGAGCTGCCGAGAGTTAGATGCATGAAATCTTGGAGGGGTGATTGACATACGAGACATGATGAAGGTAGCGTCGGGTGGGTTGTGAGTGATTAAAGGAGACGAGAGTTCCAGTGGTATTTATATGAGCGATGGGACATACCTGGCGGTGTTTCTGCATGCTGGTACGTTGATATGTACACGAGAGGATAGAGAGAGCCAGAGAAGTAGAAGTAAGAAGCAAGCAATGTTTCGTGCCAGGTGGAAGGCATCGGATAATACATGTATGTTAGCTGGCTATAGATGGAATCAAAAGCTGCATTCAAGATCTGACTGGGTATGTGTTGAACTGGGAGGGACAGCGTGTTTTGGCCTACAGCTACCTGATTAGAAACAGTCTAGAATACGACCGGAGACATTGCCTGATGGATGGCTTCGTACAGGAGGAATATGAATAGCGTCTGAATACATGTAGATTTGGAAGTATTTTCGGGGTGCAAGGTAAGTTCGTTGGTGAGGAGGAAAGAGTTCTCTGTCTCCGGGCTGCGAGTGCCCCACTATAACTTTATGAGAATTGCCCCACTATACAATGTGTACATACATATGCTACACTAAGTATACGTAAGAATATGTGGCTCTATTCGTGCGGCTCTGCTAGCATACGGCTCTGTTAGTGTGCGGCTCTGTTAGTATGCGGCTCTACGGGCATGCGGCTCTACTCGTGGCACTCTGTCAACGTGAGGCGATAGCACATGGTTCTCTTCATGAAGCTCTGGTAGTATATGGCTCTATTCCTGCGGTTCGGTTCCTGCAGCTCTGCTAGTCTGCGGCTCTGATAGTCTATGGCTCTACTCATTACATTCTGTCAGCGTGAGGCTCTGCTAGCATACGGCTCTGCGGGTATGTGGCTCTATTCGTGTGGCTCTGCTAGTATGTGGCTCTACCAGCATACGGATCTGCTAGCACACAATTCTGTTTATGTTGCACTGTTCGTCTGACTCCGTTCCTGGAGCTCTGCTATTCCATTCATGGGTATCGCCCGCGTCGCTAGCTCAATTGCAAGAATCTTTGTACTCAGCTACTCATCCCAACCGGACATCTACTTACTATATGCTACTCAATAAAGTTTCTTATTCAACAAACAATAAATAAAAATACAAACTACTATAACGGTCATTTGCAAAGCGACAACAAGTGTCACGGCCACCTTAGGACCGGCAGTAAATATTCCAAAGCTTTCTATATATAGTAATCCATGGCGTTCTGTCGCTATCAAGATTCTTTCAGTCACATATAATAAGAATACGTCTCGAAAATATGGTAGATCCTTTCCAGTTTGGGTGCACTGGCATCTTTGGCAATTGTTGCTTTCTCAGGATGAGTGTCGTTAATGGGGGGTATCACGTGAGACAAATCATCGCTTTCCAATTGCCTGGTACAGTATTGATCGATGAAGGCAAACGGGAGGTAAGATTGACAGTGGAGGAGCCTAATGATCAACAATGGGTAGCGGGTAAGAGGGACAGTGGGCGAGAAGATGACACGGAACAAAAGAACAGGTGTCGATAGCGAGTATTAGGTACTGTGTTTTGATCAACACTACCCCACCTCACATCACCATCTACACGATTTACTGCACAACGCTTCTTGAATCAAAAGTTTCATCGATAAAAATGACAAAAAGAAGATGTGCAGTTTGCACAGTCGAGTTCCCTGATATGAATGCGTACCGGAGGCACTATAGAGTAGGTACACAATGATGGTGACTGGTGGGTTTCTCTACTGACAGCGTGGTAGTCAACTCATCAAGCCAGATCTACGGTAAAATGCATAGGAGGTGTAGTGACATTTCATCGGCATACCATTACCGGCTACTTCAAGTGCAACTGCGGGTACAGCAGCAAGGTGCCAGATAGTATTGGAAGGCATGCCCGTGATAAGCCACTGGATCATTTTGGAGATCTTCCTTCGGATTCCCATATGAGTCCTGGTGGTGTCATGGTTGCTGAATGGCCACCAGCGGAAGGAAATCCGGATAACGGGGATATTGTGATGCCAGATGCCGTTCAGGTAGAAAGGGTACCAAAGGCACCAAAATCAAAAGGTATTATGGTACCTCTAAAGTAGCTTACTATTGTACTAGGCACTAATGTGATTTTCGATGTTATGTTAGGCGGGAGTGTCCCTCTCCCTGAGACTGTGCCACTACGCTTGAGTGACGCCGTTGTGCCAGATAGCAGTAATGCAATTTCAGATGTGGCTATGTCAGAGGGGAGCGGGCTGTTGCCTGTTATCAACGCGATGCATGGGAATGAAGCTATAATTCCGGAGAGCAGTAATGCAATGTCAGATATTGTGATGCCAACTGTGGTGCCGGCGAGAACCGAACCTCCAGGCAAGAATACCACCACTGGAAATTTAATGTTGGCCATTGTCGTACCGGTAAGGAGCAAGCCTCCAGCGGAGCTTGTGGCAATAGGGAACAATGTCATTATTGCCGACGATGTTGTAATGAAGGGAGTTGGCGAAGTAGTAGAGGTGTCCCCAGAGCGTGAAGCAGAGGTAACGGGGTACCCCGTTGATGCATAATTCATTTTTCTAATTTTGCAAACTGCTGGGCAGGATCTAGGACTTTTCTTCCTAAGGAAGTATCGGGTGATACTTTGCCTTGACTGTCAAACAGGACTCGATCCCGACCATGTTTTTGTCCATTTGAAGCGGGAGCACGAACTTGTCAAGACAGAAAAAGCAAGAGTTGATAAGCTTGTGGCTCGTCTTATGCCGTTGCCCGTTCTTGAAGTTAGCCTACCACCGCCGCACCAGTCACCAGTTGAGAACCTGAATATAATCGATGCGTTCTTTTGCCTCGTGTGCTTCTATACCGCAAAAAATAAAGGATCAATGAGAACTCATATCAAAGCGACCGATTGCTTCACAGAAATACAGAAGAAAGACCAAGGGTATGCCAAAGTCAAGGCGTGTAAGGCTCAGGCTTTCTTCCTGTCTCTTGGTAGAAAGTTGTTTCCCGTCAGCTATACACCCAATGATCGTGTGGCCATACAGCTTCCGGGCCTCACCCAAGAAATGATTGAGAATGAACAGCTGTCATTCTCGTCCTTTGTATCACTGGTGGAGGAGAAGAGGGTTGTCGGGGAGATTTCTTCAGATGAGGTTGGCCCTTGGTTGGGGCGCACAGGCTGGATCAACCATTTTAGGTTAGTCAATCCATAACCTCTTGGGGTAATTTATTAACCGAGTGTAGGCTCGTGAATACGGAAACCATACGAGGCTTCATGGACTTTGCTGGTACATTTGAGGGATATCTCAAGGTATTTTCAACTGTGTTGGACACGATGTTCAAAAATTGCAGAGCTGTTTACGACCTCCGGGCAAGTATTCACACCAGGCGTTGGATGAATAGCAAGAGTGGTACGGAATATGATAAGGTTGCCTTTTCACATGTTAGCGACCTCACAGAGGAGAGATATAGGACCACAACCAAGCATTTAATTCTCTACCTACTTCATATGGTGATGTCTAGGAATTTCAACAAGACTCCGTATAAGGACCTGATCATTATGACGCCCGAGCAATCGGAATGCTTCAAGCCAATTCTTGAAATATTAAAACCTTCTCCTAAGCCAGATATGGAGAAGCTCGAGGAGCTGGCATATAAATTATGCATTAGTCTAATTGAACAGCGGTTTGATGAAGGTAATTCATCAAAGACACCCATCATGCACGCATTCGGTGTTCTTGGAATCAGCAAAGATGGGACTTTCAGGCCTGCTTCGTCTATGTCTTCTGATATTGCTGCAATAATTTATTGGTCAAAGCTCCTGCTGGTACGGAGAGCCTATGAGCTTTCAAAAGAGGTTCCGAGTGGTGAAGGTGGGGGCTCAACTGTGTGTGAACAGTACCAACATCTGCATTACAATTATGTTGCACCAACAGGCCTTGCACCGCTTCCTGAACTGATAAATTTATTGGGCTGGGCAATGACAATAGGAACAGGCGAGTCAGCGGTACCGAATATTATGTGGAGCCAGAGGCCCGGAGTCGAGGAGTTATCCTTCAATGGCCTCAAAGTGTCGACAGACCGATTTAGAAGCATGATACAGAATGAGATTGTGAAGGCGAATACACTCCTGCTTGAAACATTCGGTATAGATACCAGTACCAGCTTTTCTGAGAAGGATATTTGCGATATCTACGACGACACATCTAACCGAAATGCTGGTTATTGCTTCTTGAAGGACCCGAGTAATGAGAATATTTTTCCGACCGATAATATTCTGAATTTGGTATTTAAGCACGAACCATTGTGCAAAAGGCTTGTGAGAATTGTTGATCACCGCGTAGTATACATGAGCTCTGGGAAGGCTGTGGTAATATCGGAGGCACGGAAGCTGCTGCATTTGCTTATGGGATTGTTCCACCTTATAGGGGGGCAGCCAGCGAGATCGACAGAGTTGGTAAAGTTGACCTGGCGCAATAGCGCATTATCCAGCCGGAACATTTTCATATTTGACGGCGGTGTCCTTTGGATAACCGACTACTTCAAAGGAAGAACCTCTCTCGGTTGGTCCAAGTTCATTCCCAGATTTATTCCACCTCAGATAGGCTCGATCTATATCAATTTTGTCTACAAAATTCTTCCACTCTATATGTTCTTCCAGGATCCTTCCAGTGATAGCTTAACAGTCGATAATCGCTACTACCTGTTCTCGGATGATGGGGTCAAACCATGGCCGGGTACCATGCTAACAGATCTACTAAAGAATATTAGTACCTATGAGTTTGGCGAGAATAATGCATTCAGTACCGCCGGATACCGCCATATGGCTATCTCCATATCCAGACGCTACCTTGACAGTGAATTTGGAGGAGAGGTTTCAGCCGACACAGAGGACCCTATGGATCTGCAGGCAGCGCACTCTTCAAATACTGCAGATAGAGTGTATGGCGTTAGGGCTGATTTGGTGTATGGAATATCAGAGCGTTCAATACAAGTCTTTCAAGGCCTTAGTCTTACTTGGCATAATTTTCTCTTTTCCAAGCTGACTGCGGTGAGGTGGATGAAACGAAAGCGCGAGAGCAATAATAGGAGGAGGGGAGCCATGCTTTGCCCCTGTGGTGGAATAATCGATTCCACAAATGCTCCCACAGTTGCCCCGGCAGAGGGGACAGAGGCTGATGCTACCACACTGTCAGCTAATGCTGATATTCCTGTTTACAGTAATGGATTTACCTACACTGTTCGGGCAACCAAAACACCTGAAGCCTTGTCACTAGCGAACACAGCCTTGACTCGCCTCTATGGCGAAGAAGCATTCTTCAAGAGCCAGCAGCAGCTCTTGGGATTGCGCCTTGTTTTTGAAGGGATTTCACCCCTGCTTGTAGTTTTACCAACGGGCGGTGGTAAAAGTATCCTGTTTGAAGGACCTGCTAAGAAAGGTGGTATTTCCATTGTGATTGTTCCACTTATTGCCTTGCGTGCCGACTTGAATAAACGTGCGCTGTTGCATGGCATAGATAGCCAGGAATGGGGAGGGAGAATAAACAATGATACTCCACTGGTTTTTGTTACAGCTGAAGCATCCATGAAACCTAATTTTAAACAGTATATTCGAGGACTGCTCGTGCGACAGTTGCTTCAGTGAATCTATATTGATGAAGCTCACATGCTTATATTTGGCTCTGATATCCGGGATGCTTATAAAGGTGTTTTCTGGTATGCATCTTTGGGTGTTCAGATTGTGTTTCTTGCCGCTACTATGCCTCCCTACATGCTGCGTGAGTTTGATGCCGCACCACTTATTACACGAACGGTTGTAGTAAGAGCTTCTTCAAACCTTCCCAATATGATTTACAGTTGTTACAAGGTGCCTCGAGGGGAGGTTCACAGAAAGGCTCGTCAAATTATCCATGCCTACCCCATTGAACCTCAAGAACGTATTTTGTTATACACCAGGAGTGTGCATACCTGTCAGGTAATGGCTGAGCATTTACAATGTGGGCTCTACCACTCGGGGAGCCCAAATAAAAATGCTGATTTGAATGATTGGTTAGCTGGGTAATCCCAAATTTTGGTAGCGATGACTGCCCTAGGTGCAGGTGTCGACATCGTCAATATACGCTTGGTTTGTTTTGTTAATCTCCCTCATTCATTTGTCGCCTTTGCACAGGGTAGCGGCAGAGGTGGGCGAGATGGGAGGACTTGCATTACGGTAGTGGTGTTTGGTTCCGACGAGCTTTATAAATCACCGGAGAATAATTTCTTTGAGCTTGATATTGAGAGTCTTCGTTCATTTTTAGCAACGGACTCATGCCGGCGTGCCTGCCTCTCTGAATACTTTGACGGTAAAAGAGAGAGGTGTGACCCAGATCATGATGAGTTATGCGATAACTGCACAAAGAGATTGAAGGGAAAGCGGAAGCAAACTTTAGATCAACAAGTATCTGTGCGACGCAGTCATACATCTGTTCCACAAGACTACACTCTTATTCAACATGAACAGGAAGCGGAAGTCCTCACTAGAGCAGAGGCTGTAGCTCCTGCCGTACCGCAAGCTGTAGCACTTCGTACTCCTGCTCCATTCCCTTGGCAGAAAGTTAATGAAGTTATCGAAATTTCCGATGCAACACAAGATATCCCTGCTGCAACAGCAACACCGAGAGCTACAAGGCGCAGAGCGCGCAGAATTATAGAGTCTAGCTCTTCTGAAAGTGAAGGGGATCTCCCTAACTTTGAGCAAAATGGTGAGCCGATATGCGATTCGCCTGTGCCAGTCGCTAGCCGGAGCTCTACGTGGACAACCAGAACCACCAAGAGCAGTGGTATATCTAAGTTGAGGGGTGGAACGCTATCTGTATCTTCTCCAAGGAATAGAAGAGTTGATCCTCTGACTAGGAAAATAACCTACTCAAGGAGGATTAGTCCGAAGAGAGCGCACACTACTATAGCAGCCACTACCGCTGCTACCACCATTGCTACCACCAAAGTGAAGCCAGAAAGTGGAGCTCCTCGTAATTCAAATACAGCGGACTCAATTACCGTAGCCATTACCAGCGGTCGTTCGCGGATTGGTCCTTGGGATAAATTTCAGAGCAAGCAGAAAAATGAAGACTGGTGGATAAAGGCTGTTGCCGAACTTGAAGCAATGAAAGGTCAGTGTACATTTTGCTGGGTTACCACCAGGAGCCGGATTGCATTAGATCATAATATTGAGAATTGCACCCAACGCGTACCACTTGAAGATTTTGGTCCATATAAGCCCACTTATTCCGAATACAGGAGCTGGAGGAAGGCACTTCAATTCAGCGAGTACACATGCTGCTATCAATGTGCATTGCCGATGAACCTTTGCAATCCGGTCAGGGTGGTAAAGTGTTTGTATGGCCGTAATATTGTTGCACCAGTAGCGTATATGGCTCAGTATCTACCAACATTCCGGGCAGAGGTGGAGGCTTTAATGGGTAAGCCATTGCACTCATCAGAGTACCTGATTTGGCTTGGGCAAAAGACCGAATTGTATGGTAAAAAGTGTTCAAACTTGATGAAAGTCTTCGAGGTGGGACTTAACCTTGAGCCCATTAATCAGGTATGTATTAGTTCTGATATAGTAGATAGGCTATACTGATGGAATCTAGTAATTTTTCTGGTAAGAATATTTTAAGCTTGTTGATGTAGCATGGTGTGTGTGTGCTTTATAGCCTGGTATGTTTAGGATCAAAACAGATGCTTCTGGGTTTTGCTGACATATTCTAGCGGAATCCTGGATAATTTGAGGTTTTTTATCGCTTTTTATATTGAGGCAACCTCGCGACATGGTGGCTAAGTTTCTTTTTATTTGTAATGGTATAGAAGGTAGATGTGACGAAATATATCTAACTTGCTTAATCCAAATTTGTGTTTTGCTAAACTATTGTCGCTGTTCTCCAGTGAAACTAACCGCTCCGGGAAAGATTGTCCGCTACGGTGTTTGATGACAGAAGTATTTAGAGCCAAGCCAAAAATATCTAGAGAGAAGTAAATGATACCAAATGAAAATTTAGCTTTTGAAGAGATTTACTGTAGATGTTATATCCAAAGTGAAATCCTCAATACCTTTGTCGGGATTGCTCTATCTACTGTATACCATAACCGACTATCTATAGTTTTTAGCAGACTACGGTTGGAGACGGAAGCAGGATGAAAATGAAAGCTTTGCAGAATTTTGTTATATAGAACATATACAAAACAAATTGTCGAGATTAGTATTGGTACCTAGAGTCAGCCTATCCACCATGCAGTGATTAAAGTTGCGAATAATTGTTCAGAAACCAACTATAACATGTGTTACTAGTACAGATAGGTATGGCCACGCGTCTTTCTTCGGACAAGAAACATCAGCAAGTTTAACAATTTCTGTAAAGTGTCTCCTGAGTTTCCAGAGAATCAAAATCCGTTTTGATGTCTCAGGAGAACCTCAGGAGACCCAGGAGACTTTTGAGAGACTCATGAATATGTACAATCTTGCTGATGAATCAACAGCATGCATTAAACCTGTACATACGTATATGTATCATGTATTCCATTTGAGTGTACGTGGCATTAACGGCATTTGTTAGGTCGTTCTTCATTCAACTTCATTCAACCTCATACCTCCGGACAGACTCCATCTTCCTGCACACTCACTCCATCCTCCAAATCGATCCCCTAATACGATCTTCATCCTTCTGCAACACGAAACAGTCAAAAGTCATCACCAAAAACAGCTAGGATGGCAAGCCAGGCAGCAAGATATGAACGGATCTACCCAACAGATGATTGCATTATTAAGGAGTATGAGGAGCAGTTGATGGCATTGAATGAGCGATTTAGAGTCCACCGATACAAGTTACGCGATAACGGGAAGGAACTGCTCATTTTGAAGGATAAAATGACGGTTGTCCAATACAAAGCCGAGCTCATGCCGGAGAACTATTTGATGGAACTTGAGGAGCTCAATGGAGCCATCATGGCTATCGAGCTTGAGAATAATAATCTTCATGGAACAATAGACTTTATTGAATGGTTGAAAAATCAAGCTCGTTGCTCCATTCTGTATCTGCAGAATGGAGAGGTTCCGGATGGGCAACATCATCCTGCTGCTGGTAAGTCTGAAAGCTTCTAATTAAATTTTGTTTGCTAACTTCATCTCGTGACAGATACTACCGAAATCGATACAGTGACTACCGAGACTGATACAGTCACTACCCAAGTCGGTGCAGTTAATGTTGAGGGAACGAAAGCTGAAGAGGAGGAAATTAAGGGCTAGAAGGTTGCTGAACGTTACCGAATGTAACCCCGTAGTTGGAGGATTTCTGCGATAAATTGCTTGTCTTGTGAACATAACTTACCAAATATGATGAATATTGCTTTGTATCAAACTCTAAATACTTGCTATATTACTTATTTACTGTCGGAAAGGCTTCACATATTACTTTACCGGTACTCCCAAGTACAACTGCGAGACTCCCGCAAATTGAAGTAAATTAAAGTTGGCCGGGAAAGCAGATGAAGGCAAATAATGTTATAGAACGATATTGTCGATAACACATGCAAAGTGGAAACCAACGTCTCAGAACTGTCAGAGTAATTTGGGACGTCAAAAGAGATAGTTGAAAATACCCATAAATTTTAGTTATGTAAAACTCTTTCAATTGTTACATCATAGTTCCAGCTTTACTTTGTACCAGAAAAAATGGCTCTGCTTTTTTTTTATAATATGATGCAAAAAGAAAAAAGAGATTTACCAACCACACACTCAATAGTGCATCGTCGGCGGCCCAGTGTTCGCAAGGGGTGGACCGAAACGGACCGTTTAAGTCATCCGTCTTTGGTGAGCCCAGGCTTGGCATTAATTGACTCAATGTAAAACGAGTCAGCTTTTTGATCCACAAGAGTAAAAAAGTAGATGTAATTAGGAATGACTACTCATGATTCTAGTGAGGGAAATTTCTTACCGTCAACGGCGGCGGACGGCTATTACCTACCAATGACTGCAAATTACTGCTTGTGACTACGGGACCGCGGTTGCCTAAATGTTACATGGGCCAGCTGACCGGCGGCCAGACGGTTGCGAACACTACCGGCGGCGGTCCCTAAACCAGAGAAAAAAAAGAAAATATGGTTACTCTTCTACCACATTATATCATATATAATATTCTTATCTGAATATTAAAGAAGGTTTGTGTAAGTATCAAACATCACATATCACAAATTTGGTATAGTAGAGCTCGATATAATTTGACAACGAGAGTAAGTTACAGGCTATGCCCAACATGACGTATCATGTATCATATATATTATAGGTACGGATAGGTTATGTGTTGCAATAATTGAAAGCAGCAAAGAAAACATTGAAAGCAATGTAAGTAAAACATTCAAAGCGAAGTTATATGGTTACCCCCTAACCACAAGTCAATCATCTACGATGTGTAGAAAATGATATAGCAAAAAAGAAATGAAAAAATTGAGCAAACTAGTGAGCGGTGCTTATTCTTCTTTATCGGCGAGGTATGAGTCTGTATAGCAAGGTATTTTTTGTTAGATTATATTGATATATACGGGCTGGATGAAGACTTACAGTCAGGACAACCGGGGTGGTTATTTATGGCTTGTTCCTTGACGTAAAGTTTGTGGTACATAATCCACTTCTCCTGAGCGTAGCGGAGGTGCTGGATAAGATCCTTGACACACTTCTCAGAGCGAGCAAGCTCTTCGCACAACAATTCAATGAGTTCTACGTTCCGGTTCGCTAAAATAGAGTAGCTCTTGTTGATGCCATTGCTGCGGAGTAAGGCGAGCTTGGCCTTTCTGAGTTCCGATTTGGGTGTATTGCTCGGGCCAGCTTTGGGACTGTCTTTGGAGATGACATATGTCTCAGGTTCAGGAGTAGTTGTTAGCGGGACAACATGACGGCAGTGGCTCCCTTCACCATAGGTGTATTCATCATAGTCTTCGGCCTTTATCTGTGTATCGGTTTCCTCTATAGGTGCTGCACAGTATCTAGTCAGTATCATTTAGCAGGTATAAAGATAGGCGATGCTTTACCAACTGACTTGGATTTGGACATTATGATGGTATAGTGATGATGATGACTGTAGACAGCGCTTTTGGTGGTTGGTGTCACTGAGTTTCGTATTGAGTGCAATGCGTGATGATGACTGAGGGAAGAGGGAGGATCGTGGCTATTTATACACTTCACTAGGCTTAACAATAGCTGTTCGCTTTCTCGTGTTGTATAGCTGTCTCGGTGTACAGTTACAGTATCCGGACAGATAGTGTTGAGCCAAGAAGGATGCGTTGGTCATGTTGGATGAGGAAAGATATGTTCACTGTATTGTTATGAGCTGCGGTAGAGGTGTTTAATTAATGTTAGCAGAGCCTCATATGTTTAGTTGCATTGTACAAATGTTACGAATGCCAGATAACAGCCACGGTAAAGCCTTCAGCAAAAGCCGTATGCATCGCTACAGATGAGCCACACTAGCCGCTATTAAGAGCCATATGGAATGTTCAGAGGTGTAAGCTTAGATTTAGTTCACCAAGAACAACACTCGAGTACCGGATAAGGGCTGCGTGGGGGTCAATGTATACGAATGAAAGAGCGGTTTGCTTTCTGAGTTTTTTTTGGTTGGGGTATATAATCAATAAGAACAGTATTACAAGAGTGCGATACAAGAGAGATCATACGGTTTGATAAATGTTGGAGCTCTAGATCTGAAGCTTTGAACGTGCGGTTAGGTATAGAGTTGTATAGAAGTATTCAACTAGTATTTTGTCGGGTATCCATATTATTCTAATTATGAATCTATCCACCATTGGATATTGAAAAGGCTTGATTCATTCTTACTGATTCTTTATTTCCCAATCAGGTAATTTTACCAGTCAGTGCTTGTATACCAAATAGTGAAGTAATACTCGCTTGTAAAATTTGTTCAGAATTAAGCTACAGGCCCAAGACTCTGAATAGGGAATGCATTTCTGAATGAGCCGAACTTGTCTAAATATTTGGCTTTCCAGGTTTTGTGTACAGGTATATTAAGCTTACCAGTAGTGCATATTCATACTTCTAATGATTTTCGCTTTTCATTTTGTTGCTATTATTTGGAAATATTACTGTTAAGTCAATTCCTGAAATCGAGTGATACTTCATGATCACAATGAATGTAACCACCATGAGATTCAAAGCCTTGCCTGTTAGATATTTTCGGCTGTAATATGATTTCATAATGTTGAAGTATTCACGGGATATAGTTCCCTCACTGGTACAAGATATTGAGCTATTGAAAGGCATTTTATCTTCGCTGTATTAATTTCCTGAATCGAGTGATACTTCATGACTCGCAGCTAATGTTATAAATTCAAGAGCTACGAGCCCTTTAAACTGAATATCAGTACTATCGACAGTAGAGGTTACGAATATGCTGATATTATTCGGTACTTGTAATTGTTATTAAAAATTACATGTGCATGATTAGGGGAATCGAGAAATACTTCATCAGCCAGCGATTTTAGTCGGTAGGTTGAGGTGCTCTAAATGGTCCTCGGATAAATAAACACTGATATCCCTAGTGCAGGATATGCATATAGGGAAGGAAGCATTTCAATGTTTACGGTACTAGTATGGATAATGGCATCACTGGCACTTGGAAGTGTACGAGTGATAACCTATGATCCGGGATTGGCATTGACGAATAAAGCTCGTGAATAGAATTACTCTTGATAGGGTTACTATGTAACGGGGATCTATGGGCGTAGGGGCTATGGTGCCAAGGAATACAACCGAGGCGAGGGCGTAGCGAGAGGTATTCTTGGCTATAGACTATGGGGTGGCTCTACTTGGTATGACAACCAATTGAACCCTATGACGAGACGTAGAACAAACGTGGTATTCGTAAAGTAGATACAAGAGGTTCCGTGAAGAGAAAAGGAAAGGAAGAGAAACATGAAAAGACACGAAACAACGCCCCTTTATATATCCAACTCCTAGTCCGTTGGTGACTAATACCTCGCGTAATGGAAACCGAAAGAACATAACAGAAACCTCATTACAAATCCTCGTTCAATTGCGCAACCGCTCCTCCACACGACCCAATCTATCGTCTTAGTCGAGATACAATATTGCCGTTACAGGCCACGCCCCCCTCTAAGGCCTACCTCCTGGTAGGCTTAGGCTTTCGTGGATAACGTTCATGGAATCGCTGAACAATATCAGGTGAATGCTCAAAGTCCGATAGCGGTTGCCAGGAGGCATCGTTGTATCCTTTGTATTGTACCAAGTACTCAAATTTCCCTCTTCGCTTTCTAGAATCCAAAATATCCTCGACTTCCAATTCTTCTTCTCCTTCGATCTCAACCGGAGGTGGTGGTGACTGCTTCTGTCCAGGTAATGGGTTACCTGCTTCAGGTGACAATAGCGAAACATGGAATACTGGATGGATATTCATAGAACGGGGAAGTTCTAGCTCGTAAGCATAGGAATTGACGATTCGTTTGATACTGTAAGGGCCAATCAGTTTCCAGTCGAGTTTCTTGGAGGGTCGTTTTGTCAAAACATGACGCGTCGATAAGAAAACTTTATCTCCGATACGATAACGAGGGGCGGGAGAACGGTTTAGATTGGCTGATTCCTCTTGTATTTTTTGTGACCGAAACATTTCGCTCTTTAGAAATTCCACCATATCCTTCATTTCTTTTGCAATACTATTGGCCTGATCTTCCGCTGTCGTTTTACCATGTTCTAAGGGGCCAAAAGTCATCCGTGGATTTCTTCCCGAGTTGGCATAGAAAGGAGAGACCTTTGTTGTTTCCGACACGTGATTGTTTGCTGCGAACTCAGCCATTGCCAATAGTCGGACCCAATCATCTTGTTGATAAGAAACATAGGTTCGAAGATACTGTTCCATCACGGCATTGATCCTTTCAGTTTATCCATCAGTCTGAGGGTGGAAGGCGGTGGAGAATCGTGGGGATATTTTCAGGCGTTTGCAAAGTGACTTCCAAAATTCCGCAACAAATTGGGTTCCTCTATCGGACACAATCGTATCAGGTAGTCCATGTAGGTTCCAAACATTATCGACATATAGCCTTGCTACTTCCTTCGAGTCCACCTCTTTAGTTGTTGGTATTAGGTGTCGCATTTTGGTTAGTTCATCAACAACAACTAGGATCGCATTATAGCCATCACTCTCAGGGAGGTCAGTAACAAAATCCATCGATATATCCGTCCATGGTCCGTCGGGTATTGGCATTGGGCGAAGTACTCCGTAAGGCGCATTGCGTGGTGCCTTGCTACGGGCACACACATTACAATTCCTGACATATCGATCGAGATCCTTTCGCATTTGTGGCCAATAATACTCCCGACTCAAGAGTTCCAATGTCTTCGCTCTACCCGGATGGCCTGCTGATGGTTTGTCATGATATTCTTGTAGGAGCCTCAACAGGAGATCGTTGTCATTTGGTACATAGAGTGCGCCTCGATAAAGTAGCCGACTATTGTTGACCTCAGTACATTCGGCAAGTGAAATTTTATTCGAATGGTGAACATCGTTCCGAAGCATAGCGAGGATTTCATTTGGGAAACTATCGACTAGGTAAGCTTTTGAAAATAACTCCTTCACAGTAGACATTCCTTCAGCGGATTCATTTGATAAAGAACCCGCGAACAAACTTAGCTTTGTATCCAAATTTTTTCGCTTCAGAACCACTTGGCTCTGATGTGTCAACCGTTCATCCCACTCTTTAGGTAGGTCACCTGACCTTCTAGTTAATGCATCCGGTTTCGCTCCTTGTTTTCCTGGTCGGAATTGTATAACAAAATCGAAACGTGGAAGGAATTCAGACCAACGAGCTTGTCGACGATTTAACAATTTTGTTGTCATGAAATATTCTAAATTACGGTGATCGCTAAAAACTTCAATAGGGAATTGTGCTCCTTCCAGATGATGTCGCCATTCTTCGAAACATCGTACGATTGCTAGAAGTTCCTTATCATAGATTTCTGTAACGGGGTCTATGGACGTAGAAACTATGGTGCCAAGGAATACAACCGAGGCGGGTACGTGGCAATAGGTATTCAAGACTATGGGCTATGGAGTGGCTCTTCCTAGTATGACAACTAGTTGAACCCTATGACGAGGCGTAGAATAAAAGTAGTATTCGTGGAGTAAATACAAGAGGTTCCGTGAAGAGAAAAGGAAAGGAAGAGAAACATGAAAAGACACGAGACAACGCCCCTTTATATATCCAACCCCTAGTCCGTTGATGACTAATACCTCGCGTAATGGAAACCGAAAGAACATAACAGAAACCTCATTACAAATCCTCGTTCAATTGCGCAACCGCTCCTCCACACGACCCAATCTATCGTTTTAGTCGAAATACAATGTTGCCGTTACAGACCACACCCCCCTCTAAGGCCTACCCCCTGGTAGGCTTAGGCTTTCGTGGATAACGTTCATGGAATCGTTGAACAAGATCAGGTAAATGCTCGAGGTCTGATAGCGGTTGCCAGGAGGCATCGTCGTATCCTTTGTATTGTACCAAGTACTCAAATTTCCCTCTTCGCTTCCTAGAATCCAAAATATCCTCGACTTCCCATTCTTCTTCTCCTTCGATCTCAACCGGAGGTGGTGGTGATTGCTTCTATCCAGGTAACGGGTTACCTGCTTCAGGTGACAATAGCGAAACATGGAATACTGGATGGATATTCATAGAGCGGGGAAGTTCTAGCTCGTAAGCATAGGAATTGACGATTCGTTTGATACGGTAAGGGCCAATCCGTTTCCAGTCAAGTTTCTTGTAGGGTCGTTTTGTCAAAACATGGCGCGTCGATAAGAAAACTTTATCCCCGATACGATAACGAGGGGCGGGAGAACGGTTTAGATTGGCTGATTCCTCTTGTACCTTTTGTGACCGAAACATTTCGCTTTTCAGGAATTCCACCACATCCTTCATTTCTTTTGCAATGCTATTGGCCTGATCTTCCGCTGTCGTTTTGCCATGTTCCAAGGGGCCAAAAGTCATCCGTGGATTTCTTCCCGAATTGGCATAGAAAGGAGAGACCTT